GGGGGGAGCTGATCGCAGCCAAGTCAAAAGAAGAGGAGGGGGGGGGTGTATATAACCCATCACACAAGAGGTATTAGCAACCGTCCGATCTGTCGGTGATGTGCACCGTGACTGTAACATCTATACTACAGCAAGGGTTACATCTTCTGGCTCCAATCACTTGTGAATTGCCGCGGAGGCAATTACATGCTTTCAATAGTGACAGATTCTCTAAATGCATTGGCGACAACAGGGGCCAATTTTACTGTAGAGCCTATGTGACATACTTGATATTGACAGCACAAAGACCATAGCAACCAACTGCGAATGGAAACATCATGATCACATATATGATTTGATTGACATGGGATGGCATATAATAACCCAAACTTTTTGACATATAAACAAATACAAGACGCTCTTTCAACCGCAAGCTATTTACATCCCTCCACCAGCACCACCACCCCCAACAGGACCTGCGCCCGCCCCACCGCCACCAGCACCACCAGCATTAGCCGCAGCCGGAGCCGGTCCATCACGAGGCGGCGCGTTCGGAGGTGGGTTAGGGTCCGGCACAGGCGCTGTAAGAACAGGACCTTGGTACGGACGCAAGCTTCCAATCTTAACGGGCACCTCAGCGACGTTGTTGTCGTAGTTGGTCTCCGGGAAGAAGTTCTGCGGGTTCATGTGGACGCGAAGCTTGTATTCGGTGTCGGGGTGGTAGTCTTCGGCGTTGATTAGGTCCGTGATGTCGATCCTGAAGAGTGGTGGTGGAGATAACCCAATCAGTATATAGTGTTGCAAAAGAGTATCCCATATCCGAAATGCTCACCATTGACAAGCAAGCGTCTGATCGTACAAGTCGTAGCATCCAGCAGTGATGCCTTGGTTGGTGCAGTCGTAAACAGGGTGCAAGCCATCAGCGTTACATCCGACATCTTCCAAGCAGAAACCGTTCTTGTGGCCGATTTGGGCTACGGTTCCGTTGCTGCTGAGGAGCTGATAGTTCGCGTATGCGTTGAAGTGCCAGTGTCTGAGTGCAAAGGGAGTGCATCAATTTGACGGATTCAGGGAAGTACACTGAATGAGGGA